GATTCACCAATCACGAAAATAACAAAAAAAATTTTTATTACATATTTAACATATGGACACTGTTTTACCGATTGTGACAGACAGTTTTTGTGACAAAAGTGCTCATATTTAATTTATTGACATGAAATTTTTTTTTCATTATTTTAACTCAAAAAAAGTTTTAGCTGGTGTATTTCTTGCCAATAATCAATTATCCATAAAGAAAAAAGCATTTTATCTTCTTGTTTTCAAGAAAAGGCTGTTGGAAATTTTCAAAAATTTCAGTTTCATTGTAGATGGCGCTGCCTCACTTGGACCTTTTCTTGTACACCTAACAGACGGATGATATTTTTTAGCTTAATTTTTTTTTCTCTAACACCTATGGGGTTAATTTTCAGTTTTGTGGAATAGTAAATGGGGAATTTTGTTGTTTTTTTTTTTTAGATTAAAATAGAAGGAGAGAATATAAGTGATTCCGCAGTGGGCGCGTAAATGTGCGTAAGGCCCTTGTGCGATAAAACTCCCTGGAGAAATAACCACGTTGCATGTAATGTACGCTAAGGTATTGTAAGGGAACGAAAGACGGGTAAGAGTGCGGGGTGAGGGGGTGGTGTATTCACCCTCAACGTCTACTTCGCAGGTGTGAAATACCCCGTGTCCGCATCTATTTATTATTTTATTAGCAGCGCATCTGGGGCCAAATAACAGAGGCGCATATATATAGTGTGTATATATATAAAAAAAAAAATAAACTTTAAAAGAAAATACAATGTAATTTCCACCTGAGAAAATGCATTTAAGTATCTTTAACATTATATGGAAATAATTAAAAAAAAAAAACATATCTACACAAATTTTTTTAAATTACTTTTTTGAAAAAGTTAATTTATTTTTGAAATTTAATTTGTAAATTTAAATAAAAATAAAAAAAATTTTTATTTTTTAAAGTTTGTTTTTTTAATTAATTTCATATTGAAATTTACTATATGAAAAAAAAAATTTTTCTTCGAGGCCACAAAACTATTTTAGGGTCTATCTAAAGAATCGAATGGTGAATGTTGGTACTGAATAGTAACTCCATCCTTCGGAGGAAGTCTCAACTTCTTACATAAAAGTAATTTTAAAAAAATGAGATAAAATTTTATTCAAGATTTTGTTTTTTAATTTCCGTATATATGGGAGGAAAAACTTTTTTTTTTATTAATTTTTCTTTTTTTCTAATTTCATTAAAAATTTTAATAAAAATTTTATTATATTTATTATTTATTTTTGTTATATTTGGAAAATGTTTAATTAATGTTTAGTAGGAGGAAAAATAAATTTATGCGAATTTATAGTAAAAATAGAATATTTCAATGAAAATTGATTTTCATTTTTTTTTTTTTTTTTTTTTTTTTTTTTTTTTTTTAATGAACGAGATTAAGGGAATTTGTCCAGATAGTGACGGTTTATGAAATAATGAGTAAGTTAAACTCATCCAACGACGTTTGGCGGACATTTAAAGTGCTCGTCCATGTCGACGTCCGTCCACGTTAATTACCGTCGACTCACAGACGCGAATGAACTGTGCTCTAGAATTTAAAATTCAATTTCTATATATAATAATAAATATTATATAAACGACGAAACGAGAAACAGATATTAATCGGTATTTTTTTAATTTACCAAAAATCTATAGTTTCATTGTATTTAAAAAAATGTACACTCAGAAAAAAGATATGTACCATTTTTTTTATATTTAACCAATTTTTTGGTTAGTTCAAATAAAATTTGCGTTTAATTCAAATAAATATTTATTTTGATTTAAATAACTGTTTGGTTTATTTTAATAAATTTTTTGAACAAAGAAAAAATTTGATTGAGCTAAATAAACGTTTGGTTTATGTAACCAAATGTTTGATTAACTTTATATCAATGCATTTATTTTGTTGATTTAACCAAAATTTGATTCAAACGAATTTTTTTCTGAGTGTATTATTGAAAAATTGTAATAAAGCATTTTTTTTTAATTTTAGAAGCAAGAAAGAAAAAAATGTTTTTTTGTCCCTTTTCAAAAGAGATAAACATCTGAATTTTTGGGGGTTAAATTAAGAAAAGGGGTCTCTCTCTCTCTTTTTTTTGGACGAGAGAAAAAGGTATCTTCGAACTGAAAGAAAGGAGACATTGACTATTCGCAGGAGATCTGTAATGTGAAGCGTTTAAAGTTGCAATGGGTCCCTTGGGTTAAATGGCAAGCTAAGAGGATCAAGTATATATCTGACTGACTAGAAATCTAAAACATGCGCGACAAAACTGAAATATTGTCATGTATTGAAATTTTGAAAAGCAGAAAAAAATAGGAATTTTTTCGAATACCTACCAGGCAAAAAAAATCTTCATCTGAAACAGCGATAGAATTTCTTTGGAACAGCGATATTATTTCTCTAGAATAGCGAAAACTTTCCCTGTGTTTTAGTAAAACATATCGCATGATCGTGAAGATTTTTTTGCGTGTATAATAATTATAAGTACCTATAATTTAATTTATTTTTCATATAAAGAAGGCATAAGCAAAATTCAGCAATTAGTAAAAAAAAAAATTAACTAATTAGTAGTAAAAAAAGTAACTAATTTTCAGTGGGAAAATATAACTGAAGACTTTCATAATGACTTTCACTTTGACTTTAATTTTCACTTTCAATTTTATTTTCACTTTTTTCAAAATTTTAATTTTTTTTTAACATTTTTTATTTTTTTAATATTTAAAAATTTGATTTTTTTTACATAAAATACTTAAATAAAAGACGTAAAATAAAATATTGTAAAAATCGTTTCTAAAATGTATATATATATATATATATATATATATATATATCTTTAACGCAATTTCGTGAGTGTGGCAATGTAATTCATGGCGAAATCTAAGCCTCGAGGATTCAGGGTGCTTGGGCAGATATCTGAGCCAAAGTACTATTTCACTCTGGAGATCTTGAAGGGTTAATTAAGTGTTTGTTCACCCGACAAGCACAGACTGCAAACCTAAGTACAAGCAAACACTTTAGAATTTAGCTGTATCTCTCTCTCTCTCTCTCTCTCTCTCTCTCTCTCTCTCTCCCTCTCTCTTTTAAGTCTTGATTTCTCCAAATATACCCGTAACTTTTTTGTTAAGAATCTTATTATTATTGACTATTTTAAGTATTTATTTAGTATCTATTATTAAAAAAATATTTATTAAAATAAAATATTAAAATAAAATTTAATAAAAAAAAAACTTTTTTTAAAAACTGAAATTAGTTCTGAAACACATATATTTGGTATACATTTTCCAAACGATGAGGTTAGAAAACGAGAAAATTTCCGGCAGATTTGAACTCTATATGGATCTCTGAATGAGATAGTTGGGATGATAGGGGATGAAGGGGGAGGGTTAGTGGGGGGAGGGGTGAATAGTGGAGTGGGTGAAAGCCATAGGGGTGAACACTAAGCCCGTTGGTGGACATAGAGGACGGAAGCTGGCACTAAAGGGACACATTTATGCCTTCCCTGGAGTATGTTAGCTAGCTACCTATATATCCTCTAACCGGGAAATTCCACCCCCTCACCCCTTTTACCCTCTTTCAACCCTTCCGCCCCCCTCTCTCTCTCTCTATCTTTCTCTCTCTATTTGTCTTTCTCTCTCCCTTTATCACTTTTTCTCTCCTAACCATGAAACTGTCTCTCTCATTTTCAACCCCTCATTCTCTTCACCTAAGTTCAAATCCCAGAGAGCAACCCTTGCAATGCCTGTGGACAGTGGTCAACTTCAGACGCCCTCAAACCATGTAAACTTCTTTATTATCCTGGACTTTGACATCCATTAGGTCGTAATCGTGAATATATATATATATATATATATATCCATATAAAGTGAGTGTCGAATTATTTGAACCAGAGCAAAAGTTTTGTCAATTATACACAGTTGAAATGATACATGTTTATATGTGGAAAAATTGTCAGGGGACAGTGAAAATTTATGATGAAAAAAAGTAATCTCATATTTAGAGGAAAAATCCTCTTCTAATATCCTATCAATTTTTTCCTCTTAAAACAAAAGTATTCCACTTGATTGTAGAATGTTTTTATTCTTTGGTGACTAATATATAATAAAACAAAACAATTTTTTTTCGAGGTTCTGATGTCAAAAACATTTGAATTAAAGTTAAATAAACAAATCTATATTAATTAATGTAAGTAATTAACTATAAATCATTAATTATTATATTTAATATTTAATTAAAGTTATTTAATTTAGTGCATGATAATAGCTTTTCCTTATCAGTTTATAACCATAATTGTCAAATTATATGCGAGAGGAAAATTCTCTCAAGTGAAGGCTATTACTGTTAATACAATAATTATAAGAGGAAAATATGCATCAAATTAAGAGGAATTCGCTAGAATCAAAATTATACTTTTTTTAGGGTGATGTAAGACAAAAATAATAATTGCCGAGAAAAATTTTTCATTACAATATTATTTTTCGTAATAATTTTCTATTACATCTAAAGAAAAGATATATAATATCTTAAAAGCATATATAAATATATTTATATTTGTTTTAAATAAATTTTTATTTATTTTAAATAATTTTTTTATTTGCTATATTTTGTTATTAACAAAAGTAGAGAAAAAATTGAAAAAAAAAAAAAATTCTCTCCAGCGGGGAATCGAACCCCGGTCTCCCGCGTGACAGGCGGGGATACTGACCACTATACTACTGAAGATAGAGGCACTGTAGACCTAAACTCAAAATGGCGTGAGCGATGATGACGTCATAGAGGTAAGATTTTTTTTTTATTCATTTATTTATTATTTAACGAATTAAGAGGGAAAAAATTTAGTTTTTTTTGAAATGTTAAATATATTCGTATGTGACATATTATAAATTATGTTTCCAAGAATTGGGAATTTTTTTCTGAGAAATTTTTTTGAAAAAGCCTAAAAAATTTTTTGGGGAAAATTTCTCCTTACACATCACTTAGAATTGATGTATGTCTACTTACCACTATCGAGGCTATTTTGGTTTTCCAAATCTGGTTCTTGAATCAATGAACGTCTTCCATTGTGTAGAAAATCTGAAATGTGAAAAAAATGATATATTTAGCAATAGTTGAAGTCAATTTTAGCCAAATTTTTATATTTAATGTCTATTATTTAGTATAATTAGTAGTAAAAATTATTTTCAGTCAGACATAATTTTTTTACTAGTATAGATATAGAGCATTACAGATAAAGATAAACTCCTGAAATTTAGTAAAATTATAGTAGTATAAACCATTTTTAGTCAGACATAAATTTTGTTGCAAGTAGTTTAAGTCAAATTATAGGCAGCCAATTTTTTTCTACATTAAATGTCTGTTATTTAGTAATTAGTGGTAAAATTCATTTTCAGTCAGACATAAATTTGTTACCAGTAGTTAAAGTCCGTTTAGGCCAGACAATTTTATTTATATAGTATACCTGTTCTTTAGTTAATTGTAGTAGAAACCATTTTTAGTAAGATATAAATTTGTTACTAGTAGGTAAGGTCGTTTTTAGTCAGACATAAATTTTGTTGCCAAATTATAGTCAGCCAATTTTTTTCTACATTAAATGTCTGTTATTTAGTAATTAGTGGTAAAATTTATTTTCAGTTAGACATAAATTTGTTACCAGTAGTTAAAGTCCGTTTAGGCCAGACAATTATATTTATATAGTATGCCTGTTCTTTAGTTAATAGTAGTACCATTTTTAGTAAGATTTAAATTTGTTACTAGTAGGTAAGGTCGTTTTTAGTCAGACACAAATTTTGTTGCCAGTAGTTTAAGTCAAATTATAGTCAGCCAATTTTTTTTTACATTAAATGTCTGTTATTTAGTAATTAGTGGTAAAATTCATTTTCAGTTAGACATAAATTTGTTACCAGTAGTTAAAGTCCGTTTAGGCCAGACAATTTTATTTATATAGTATGCCTGTTCTTTAGTTAATAGTAGTAGAAACCATTTTTAGTAAGATATAAATTTGTTACTAGTAGGTAAGGTCGTTTTTAGTCAGACATAAATTTAATCCTAGTAGGTAAGGTCAGTTTTAGTCAGTCAAATTTGTTAAATTTCTATTATTTAGTAATTAGTAGTAAAAACTATTTTCAGTCAAAAATTTGTAACTTTTTTTTATCAGTAGCTAAAGCCAGGTTTATCCAGACAAAAATATTATATCACTTAGTAATTAGTAGTAAAAACCGTATTTTGTCAGACTAATAATTTTGTACCCAATAGTTAAAGTAACTTTCAATCACACTATGCTATTATTTCAAATTAATTTTTAAAAAGTCTTTAAAATATAAAATGCATATCTATTTATTTATTCTCCTTTTTCGGGAAACAGAAAACAAAAAATTTTAATCGAAATTTGATACGAGATTCTGAATCAATTGGACACTATCCAAACGAGACGGTGTTTATAACGGAAGCTGTGTGTGTGTGGTTCATAGAATGTACATCATATGCACAACGTTGGTTGGTATTTGGAAAGGACTGTTGGATAAGGGGTTGAAGGGGTATGAGGGGTGGGTAGGGGGTGTATAGCAATGAGGTGAAGGGGAATGGGAAAAGAGGATCCCAGTGGGGCCATACTCTGACTATATTGGCTCCCATAGCCTGTTTCTGCACATTGGGGACCACGTTGTTGTTGTTGTTGTTGTTGTTGTTGCCCGAGAGTAACCCGCGTGCTATCCAACGTTTTCTGAATAGCGAGAGATGCTTTGTATTGTACAAACCCAGTTGCTTGTTTATCTCGCATAATTGGATGCAATGTAAGCCAAAGGCATTTTGTCTTAAACATTTCAAAAGCTTCCAAAAATATATATTTTCTTTTTTATTGTCTCATTTCTCCTTCTTCTCTCTCTATATATATATACCCCTGCGCAGTATCCCCCCTAAATCATGAATTTTTGAGGTTATGTTCGTATTTTAACTGACATAACCAGTTACATTCACAAACAGTAACGGTTACATAGACTTGCGGCTATACTCACGTCATTAATCAGTGTGTGACCATTTTCACTACCTTCAATTTTGAGGTTATGTTCCTTTTAACTTAGGTTTTTCACATAAATTTTGTTATGTTCGTCCTTAACCTGTTTTTTTGCTATATGACTATGATTTTTAAAGTTATGTTTCTGTTTTTTAAAATAATACCAAAAAAGTAGCATTTTGGTTTCCAATTTTGCGAGCAAAAAAAAAGTGTGCACAAACAACTTTTCACCATCGAACGGGTAAAAAGAAAAGTTAAGTTTGAATGAGAGGGGAATGATTCTTTAAAAACTCCGTTTTTCCAGTGTTGAATTATGAATTTTCCGAGTTTGATGGTATGTATATATATAGTATGGGTCACACTGTTGGGAACCGGTTCGGTTTTGTATTAGCATGTAACTCCTGTAGGAGTTAAAGTTGCGATGGCTTGTGGGTGGTTGGTAGGTGGTAGCAGGGAGGAGGGTAATTACCTCCTTGGGGAATTTCCTTCCTCTCTCACTCTCTTTTGCTTCTCTATGTTGCTATATAGAGTGTAAGCCCCAGCACGGGTACCGAGGCTTCCCATTGCTCCCAGTGGTCCCCATGGGGGAATTCTGCCAGTGGTTATTCGCGCCACGCGGTGGTTCTCATTTTCTCAAAATTAGATTTTACACATTGTCACTGACGTGCGGTATCGACATCATCAACTCATCCTTTATATATACAAATAATTTTATTTCAAACATTCGAATCGTTTTTGTTTTTCTTCAAAAACAATTCGATTTTTTGTGTTTTGAGAGTGAAAAAGATAAAATATTTTATAAAAAAAAGGTTCTTCTTTTGAAAATAGGAGAATTTTTTTTTAAATTCGATCGATATTGTAGATACAGTAAAAACTAATTTTCTAGGATAAAAGTGAAAAATATATTATTTAAACTAATTTTTATAAAGATTTTTTTCTTTTCTATTTTGAAATGGAATATGTGAAAAGGAATCAAGAGTCGAGGCCAAGAGAAATAAGAAGCCATTTTTTTCCCTGAGAAAAGAAATTAAAGTTGTCCCTTGGGTGAATATAGTCGTCGTTGTGCGCTCGTCTTTTCTGTTAGGGTGGGCAGTAGCAACTTCGCGAGGTCAAAAGGTTCTCCAATACACCCAAACTCGACAGGATTGAGCTTGGTTAGTAGCCTTAGCCTATTGCTATTGTTTGTGTTATTCCCTTGAGATTGGCCATGCCCTTAACAGTGCGCGCTGGTGACACTATCCCAAGACATCTAACGAAATACTTTTTTTTTCTTTCTTTTATTCTATTTTTCATGTGAATTCTTGCCCCCTTACTATTCTTTGAGTCAATTAAAGTCCCTTCTTTCTTTTTTGATTTAAAAAAAAAACAATTTTTATCTGACTAAAAATAATTCTAACTACTTGTATCCGTATTAACGAAATTCAGAAACGTTGTGTCTGACTAAAACAGGATTTTACTACTTGTTTCTAAATTGCAAGAATTTAGAGAGTCGTTCTAGTTGAAAGTGGATTTAACTACTGAAATGCAGTGTCTGACTAAACATAGTTTTTACTACTTACTACTTTTTACTACCTCTAGATTTAAAAAAAAAGTAGAAAATCTGGCTGACTGTGCTCTACTGTAACTACTTGTATCAAAATTAACGAAATTCTGAAACGTTATGTCTGACTAAAACATGATTTTACTACTTATTTCTAATTAGAAAAAAGCAGGAAATCTGTCTGACTTTTTAGTACTTTAACTACTTTTATAAAAATTAACGAAATTCAGAAACATCCATGACTGACTAAACACACTTTTTACTACTTATTTCTAAATTACAAAAATACATAAAAAAAACTGTCTGACTCTGCTCCACTGTAACTACTGATTACGATCTTAAAAAGCAGTATAAATTCAATGTCTGACTAAATATAATTTTTACTACTTATTTCTTAATCGAAAAAATGTAAACAAGTTCCTCTTGACAAAATGAAAGCTAAAAAAAAAAATTAATTTTCCTTTTTGGCAGAAGCTTATATGTTCGAAAACAACAACTTTTCTAACGTAAAGGGTTTGGAGCCCCTTTTGCCTTTTGCGATGGCAAACGTTACATTTGTATAATAATTCTGACTCAACGGGCACGCTAATTCCTCCAGTTAACTGGCCCTGTGGGAGCTTAAAGCCTTGCATTGCTATGGTAACGACACAGGTGTGCGCATCCCTTTATAGTTTACTCGTGTGGCAATTTCGCGAGATGACCCTTGATCATATACTGGGCACACATATGTTTCATCATTCATGAACAAAAATTTCATCAACTATTATTAAAAAAAAAAATAAAATAAAAAAATTGTCTTATACGTGATGTTTATAGGTTTTTACCAAAAATTCTTTTTAATTTGATAAAATTAAAGGAAAATATATTTTCCATGATCTTGAAATAAGATCACTGAGAGATGGCCTTAGGTCTTATGATGAAGTCTTTATCTACTAAAGTTGGCAACTTTTGATCGGTTAAAGTAATGATATCTGACAGGGGGTGAGAGAGAGAGAAAGAAACTCTTTAAGTTATTAGTTTCCATCAAGTTATCACAGTTTCATAACTTTTTGAAAAATAAAATCATGAGTTGGCAAAAACATGATTCTTTCAAAAAGTTAGTTATATTTTATCATTGAATGTTATTTTCAACAATTTATTGGAATGAAGAACGTTTTTATTATACATATATTTCTGGTTTAAAATTCACTTTTAGTATTACTGATACAGTATATTGAGTAATAAATACAATGTCTGACTAAACGCGGATTTTACTACTTATTTCTAAGATTAAAGGAAGTAATAAATGGTTTGTCTGATTAAAACTGATTATTACTACTGATTTCACACTTGCTGACATTTTGATAAGAAATGTCTGACTATAACTGTCTTTTACTACTGATATAAGACTTTTAACATTTTAGTGAAATTTTTTTTATTCGAAACTAATTTTACAATTGCTATCTTAATGAAATTAATTTGTCTGACTAAAAGTGAGTACTAATGATTAAAAAATAAAAAATAACTAAAAAGCAGTTATGTTTGACTAAATTTTACTTTAACTACTGATTTTAAAATTTCTAGAAATTTAGACAAGATATGTCTGACTAAAAACTGGTTTACACTACTGATTTATAAAACAAAAGAATCTAGAAAAAGTTCAGAGTGACTAAAACTCACTTGTACTACTGATTTATGTATTGCAGAGAAGGCATGTCTGACTGAAAACTGGTTTGTACCACTGATTTATAAAACAAAAGATTATATCAAAGTTCTGCCTGACTAAAACTGACCCTCACTATTGATTTCTAAATTAAACAAAAAACAAAAAATTTCTCTCTAACCAAATTTTATTTAAAATTAATACTGACTGTAAATAGTTACAACACTGAAAATTTTAAATCAAAAATAAATTCTCTTTTAAAAATTTATTTAAAAGTATTTTATGTACATTTGAATTGTTCGTGTACGTATATACAAATATATATATATATATATATATATATATATATATATATATATATATATATATATATATATATATATATATATGTGTGTGTGAATAAAGAAGAATAAACATTCGTCTATGCATATATGTACATTTATATTTGTGTGCATATACATTCCCTTGGAAGTTTGGTCAAAGATGTAAAAGGTCTTTTTTTGGTGTTAGAGTGTAACGAAAAAAGGTAGAGAGAGAGAGAGAGAGGGGGGGGGGAGGGAGAGAGAGACAGATAAAGAAAGAGAGGGAGATAAAATGAGACACGAACGAGAGGATGAAGAAGAGAGTAAAAGGGGGACCTGGAGTCGATCCCAAGGGATGCGTAGCGCAGTGCTCGAGGCATCTCGTCACCTGGGGCACCCTTATATCGTCAAGTACAGTCACAAGGAAACATATCCTAAAAGTCAGGGCCATTTTCTCTCGTTCTTCTTTTAAAAGAACACCTGACTTTTTTTTTATTTTTTTATCTCCTTTTTTTAAATATATATAATAATAATAACAATTATAATCAAAACAACAATAACCATAATAATAAAAATAATAATAATAATAATAATAATAATAGTAATAATAATAATAATAATAGTAATAATAATAATAGTAATAATAATAATAATAATAATAATACTAATAATAATAATAATAATCATAATCATAATCACAATCATAATCATCAGAATATATCATAATAGTATTTAAAAATCAATTCTTTTATTTGTCTGACTGAAGCTTGGTTTTTTCTACTACCTATAAAAGTATGCAGAAAGTTCTGTCTGACTAATGGATACTTAAACTACTGACATTCAAAGCTAAAGGCATTTATTGAAGGTATGTCTGACTAGTAAGGGTATTTACTACTGAATTCTAAATGGCAAATGTATGCAGAAAAGTTATGTCTGACTAAAAACTGACTTTCACTACACTGATACGAAATTCAAAAAAAAAATTGCATCGTCTGACTGAAGCCAACTTTTACCACTGAAATGAAATTCCAAAAAAAAATTTAATTAATCTGACTAAAATTTACATTTACTACTGAATTGCTAAACCTTTTTATTCAGTCTGACTATTAATGTTACAAGAAGTAAAAAAACAAAACTCCAGTCTGACTAAAAATAATCTTATACTAATGATTCAATGATCTAATGACACCAGAAGAATAGAATGTTAAAAAATACTGATTGCAAAATTAAAGAAATGTTATTCTTTAAAAAAAAAAAATAGAAAATTTAATATATTGATTATATATCTAATGTATATTTTCGAATAATTTTCCAACGCTGATGGGTGCTGTACTGGGAATAAGGAGTAAAAGAGAGAGAGAAATAGCAATGAAGAAAGAGGGTAAAGCGAAAGGGAGGTTTTGATACACGTGGGAGGTAGGAGGATTTCTAGGGGGTGGTAAGAGGGGGGAGGAGGTAGAGTTGGGATGTGAGAGAGTGAGGCCAGATCCCATGGGACTCAGTGCTCTCCTCTGGCGCAACCAGCACTCGGGATCACGAGAGAGGAGGAAAATGGAGGTAGGAGGAGAGAACTAATCAGCTTGGCGCATGCGCATTGGGTTACTTTTTCATCCCTTGGGAATCCCCTGGCATTTGGTCTCTCTCTCTCTTTCTCTCTCTCACTCTCTTGCCTCTCATACCGTTCGCGAGTCCCACAAAGTGAGCGGTTTTCCCTCTTTCACTTGTATATATATATACATATATATGTATATATATATGGAAGGGGTTTTCTGTCCCACTTGCTTTTACGAATCGGTTCCTTCGCGTCGCGCACCATTCAACTACTATGCTCCTTTGCTCTCGCTCTCTACAATAAGACCTTTGCAGTTTCCCAATGGGGAATGAGGATCCCTCGTCGTTTCCGGCCATACCTGCCAGATCTTTCGATACCAGGGCACCAACATTCTCCTCGTGCCAGATTCACGAGAAGCGATGTTCGCTGCAGCCTCGTTTATACACCCTCCACTCCACCCCACCACCTCCCTCTTCATCCCAAGTCAAATTTCATATGGGAGTTTTAGGATCGAGTTTATATACATTGCATATATCGGTGTACGATATAGTATCTCTTGTGCGGTACGTGGTTTGATAAAAAAAAGCGGGAAATTATGATCATGAAAAAAAAACAAAAGAAAAAAATTAAGGTTACTACTTGATCCAGATTTAGAGATCTCATTTAAAAACAGTCTGACTAAAACTGGACTTTACTACTACTGCTAATAATAATAATAATAATAATAATACTTTTTATGGGTATTAATATGGGTCTTCCTCTACTCGTATTTGGCTGTCAACCTTTTTCTACACTTTTAGGTGTATTTTGTGCAAGAAATTGCAATAAAATAGTGTGCCTAAGAAAAATTGAATGTTTTTGAACATTTTTTTTTGACGAAAATCGCTTTAATGGTCATAAAAATGGTGTTCCTCTACTCGGATCCTTCTGTCAATTTTTTTCTACACTTTTAGGTGTATTTTGTGCAAGAAATTGCAATAAAATAGTGTGCCTAAGAAAAATTGAATTTTTTTGAAAATTTTTTTTTGGCGAAAATCGCTTCAGTGGTCACAAAAATGGTGTTCCTCTACTCGGATCGGGCTGTCAATTTTTTTCTACACTTTTAGGTGTATTTTGTGCAAGAAATTGCAATAAAATAGTGTGCCTAAGAAAAACTAAATTTTTTTGAAAAATTTTTTTTGGCGAAAATCGCTTCAATGGTCATAAAAATGGTGTTCCTCTACTCGGATCGGGCTGTCAATTTTTTTCTACACTTTTAGGTGTATTTTGTGCAAGAAATTGCAATAAAATAGTGTGCCTAAGAAAAATTGAATGTTTTTGAAAATTTTTTTTTGACGAAAATCGCTTTAATGGTCATAAAAATGGTGTTCCTCTACTCGGATCCTTCTGTCAATTTTTTTTTACACTTTTAGGTGTATTTTGTGCAAGAAATTGCAATAAAATAGTGTGCCTAAGAAAAATTGAATTTTTTTGACAATTTTTTTTTGGCGAAAATCGCTTCAATGGTCATAAAAATGGTGTTCCTCTACTCGGATCGGGCTGTCAATTTTTTTCTACACTTTTAGGTGTATTTTGTGCAAGAAATTGCAATAAAATAGTCTGCCTAAGAAAAATTGAATGTTTTTGAACATTTTTTTTTGACGAAAATCGCTTTAATGGTCATAAAAATGGTGTTCCTCTACTCGGATCCTTCTGTCAATTTTTTTCTACACTTTTAGGTGTATTTTGTGCAAGAAATTGCAATAAAATAGTGTGCCTAAGAAAAATTGAATGTTTTTGAAAATTTTTTTTTGACGAAAATCGTTTTAATGGTCATAAAAATGGTGTTCCTCTACTCGGATCGGGCTGTCAATTTTTTTCTACACTTTTAGGTGTATTTTGTGCAAGAAATTGCAATAAAATAGTGTGCCTAAGAAAAATTGAATGTTTTTGAAAATTTTTTTTTGACGAAAATCGCTTTAATGGTCATAAAAATGGTGTTCCTCTACTCGGATCGGGCTGTCAATTTTTTTCTACACTTTTAGGTGTATTTTGTGCAAGAAATTGCAATAAAATAGTGTGCCTAAGAAAAATTGAATGTTTTTGAAAATTTTTTTTTGACGTAAATCGCTTTAATGGTCATAAAAATGGTGTTCCTCTACTCGGATCGGGCTGTCAATTTTTTTCTACACTTTTAGGTGTATTTTGTGCAAGAAATTGCAATAAAATAGTGTGCCTAAGAAAAATTGAATGTTTTTGAAAATTTTTTTTTGACGAAAATCGCTTTAATGGTCATAAAAATGGTGTTCCTCTACTCGGATCGGGCTGTCAATTTTTTTCTACACTTTTAGGTGTATTTTGTGCAAGAAATTGCAATAAAATAGTGTGCCTAAGAAAAATTGAATGTTTTTGAAAATTTTTTTTTGACGAAAATCGCTTTAATGGTCATAAAAATGGTGTTCCTCTACTCGGATCGGGCTGTCAATTTTTTTCTACACTTTTAGGTGTATTTTGTGCAAGAAATTGCAATAAAATAGTGTGCCTAAGAAAAATTGAATGTTTTTGAAAATTTTTTTTTGACGTAAATCGCTTTAATGGTCATAAAAATGGTGTTCCTCTACTCGGATCGGGCTGTCAATTTTTTTCTACACTTTTAGGTGTATTTTGTGCAAGAAATTGCAATAAAATAGTGTGCCTAAGAAAAATTGAATGTTTTTGAAAATTTTTTTTTGACGAAAATCGCTTTAATGGTCATAAAAATGGTGTTCCTCTACTCGGATCGGGCTGTCAATTTTTTTCTACACTTTTAGGTGTATTTTGTGCAAGAAATTGCAATAAAATAGTGTGCCTAAGAAAAATTGAATGTTTTTGAAAAATTTTTTTTGACGAAAATCGCTTTAATGGTCATAAAAATGGTGTTCCTCTACTCGGATCCTTCTGTCAATTTTTTTCTACACTTTTAGGTGTATTTTGTGCAAGAAATTGCAATAAAATAGTGTGCCTAAGAAAAATTGAATGTTTTTGAAAAATTTTTTTTGACGAAAATCGCTTTAATGGTCATAAAAATGGTGTTCCTCTACTCGGATCCTTCTGTCAATTTTTTTCTACACTTTTAGGTGTATTTTGTGCAAGAAATTGCAATAAAATAGTGTGCCTAAGAAAAATTGAATGTTTTTGAAAATTTTTTTTTGACGAAAATCGCTTTAATGGTCATAAAAATGGTGTTCCTCTACTCGGATCCTTCTGTCAATTTTTTTCTACACTTTTAGGTGTATTTTGTGCAAGAAATTGCAATAAAATAGTGTGCCTAAGAAAAATTGAATGTTTTTGAAAATTTTTTTTTGACGAAAATCGCGTTTTTGGTCATAAAAAAGGTCTTCCTCTACTCGGATCGGGCTGTCAATTTTTTTCTACACTTTTAGGTGTATTTTGTGCAAGAAATTGCAATAAAATAGTGTGCCTAAGAAAAATTGAATGTTTTTGAAAATTTTTTTTTGACGAAAATCGCTTTAATGGTCATAAAAATGGTGTTCCTCTACTCGGATCCTTCTGTCAATTTTTTTCTACACTTTTAGGTGTATTTTGTGCAAGAAATTGCAATAAAATAGTGTGCCTAAGAAAAATTGAATTTTTTTGAAAATTTTTTTTTGACGAAAATCGCTTTAATGGTCATAAAAATGGTGTTCCTCTACTCGGATAGGGCTGTCAATTTTTTTCTACACTTTTAGGTGTATTTTGTGCAAGAAATTGCAATAAAATAGTGTGCCTAAGAAAAATTGAATGTTTTTGAAAAATTTTTTTTGACGAAAATCGCTTTAATGGTCATAAAAATGGTGTTCCTCTACTCGGATCCTTCTGTCAATTTTTTTCTACACTTTTAGGTGTATTTTGTGCAAGAAATTGCAATAAAATAGTGTGCCTAAGAAAAATTGAATGTTTTTGAAAATTTTTTTTTGACGAAAATCACTTCAATGGTCATAAAAATGGTGTTCCTCTACTCGGATCGGGCTGTCAATTTTTTTCTACACTTTTAGGTGTATTTTGTGCAAGAAATTGCAATAAAATAGTGTGCCTAAGAAAAATTGAATGTTTTTGAAAATTTTTTTTTGACGTAAATCGCTTTAATGGTCATAAAAATGGTGTTCCTCTACTCGGATCGGGCTGTCAATTTTTTTCTACACTTTTAGGTGTATTTTGTGCAAGAAATTGCAATAAAATAGTGTGCCTAAGAAAAATTGAATGTTTTTGAAAATTTTTTTTTGACGAAAATCGCGTTTTTGGTCATAAAATAGGTCTTCCTCTACTCGGATCGGGCTGTCAATTTTTTTCTACACTTTTAGGTGTATTTTGTGCAAGAAATTGCAATAAAATAGTGTGCCTAAGAAAAATTGAATTTTTTTGAAAATTTTTTTTTGGCGAAATACGCTTTAATGGTCATAAAAATGGTGTTCCTCTACTCGGATCGGGCTATCAATTTTTTTCTACACTTTTACGTGTATTTTCTGCAAGAAATTGCAATAAAATAGTGTGCCTAAGAAAAATTGAATGTTTTTGAAAATTTTTTTTTGACGAAAATCGCGTTTTTGGTCATAAAAAAGGTCTTCCTCTACTCGGATCCTTCTGTCAATTTTTTTCTACACTTTTAGGTGTATTTTGTGCAAGAAATTGCAATAAAATAGTGTGCCTAAGAAAAATTGAAGGTTTTTGAAAATTTTTTTTTGACGAAAATCGCTTTAATGGTCATAAAAATGGTGTTCCTCTACTCGCATCCTTCTGTCAATTTTTTTCTACACTTTTAGGTGTATTTTGTGCAAGAAATTGCAATAAAATAGTGTGCCTAAGAAAAATTGAATTTTTTTGAAAATTTTTTTTTGACGAAAATCGCTTTAATGGTCATAAAAATGGTGTTCCTCTACTCGGATCGGGCTGTCAATTTTTTTCTACACTTTTAGGTGTATTTTGTGCAAGAAATTGCAATAAAATAGTGTGCCTAAGAAAAATTGAATGTTTTTGAAAAATTTTTTTTGACGAAAATCGCTTTAATGGTCATAAAAATGGTGTTCCTCTACTCGGATCCTTCTGTCAATTTTTTTCTACACTTTTAGGTGTATTTTGTGCAAGAAATTGCAATAAAATAGTGTGCCTAAGAAAAATTGAATGTTTTTGAAAATTTTTTTTTGACGAAAATCACTTCAATGGTCATAAAAATGGTGTTCCTCTACTCGGATCGGGCTGTCAATTTTTTTCTACACTTTTAGGTGTATTTTGTGCAAGAAATTGCAATAAAATAGTGTGCCTAAGAAAAATTGAATGTTTTTGAAAATTTTTTTTTGACGTAAATCGCTTTAATGGTCATAAAAATGGTGTTCCTCTACTCGGATCGGGCTGTCAATTTTTTTCTACACTTTTAGGTGTATTTTGTGCAAGAAATTGCAATAAAATAGTGTGCCTAAGAAAAATTGAATGTTTTTGAAAATTTTTTTTTGACGAAAATCGCGTTTTTGGTCATAAAAAAGGTCTTCCTCTACTCGGATCGGGCTGTCAATTTTTTTCTACACTTTTAGGTGTATTTTGTGCAAGAAATTGCAATAAAATAGTGTGCCTAAGAAAAATTGAATGTTTTTGAAAATTTTTTTTTGACGAAAATCGCTTTAATGGTCATAAAAATGGTGTTCCTCTACTCGGATCCTTCTGTCAATTTTTTTCTACACTTTTAGGTGTATTTTGTGCAAGAAATTGCAATAAAATAGTGTGCCTAAGAAAAATTGAATGTTTTTGAAAATTTTTTTTGACGAAAATCGCTTTAATGGTCATAAAAATGGTGTTCCTCTACTCGGATCCTTCTGTCAATTTTTTTCTACACTTTTAGGTGTATTTTGTGCAAGAAATTGCAATAAAATAGTGTGCCTAAGAAAAATTGAATGTTTTTGAAAATTTTTTTTTGACGAAAATCACTTCAATGGTCATAAAAATGGTGTTCCTCTACTCGGATCGGGCTGTCAATTTTTTTCTACACTTTTAGGTGTATTTTGTGCAAGAAATTGCAATAAAATAGTGTGCCTAAGAAAAATTGAATGTTTTTGAAAATTTTTTTTTGACGTAAATCGCTTTAATGGTCATAAAAATGGTGTTCCTCTACTCGGATCGGGCTGTCAATTTTTTTCTACACTTTTAGGTGTATTTTGTGCAAGAAATTGCAATAAAATAGTGTGCCTAAGAAAAATTGAATGTTTTTGAAAATTTTTTTTTGACGAAAATCGCTTTAATGGTCATAAAAATGGTGTTCCTCTACTCGGATCGGGCTGTCAATTTTTTTCTACACTTTTAGGTGTATTTTGTGCAAGAAATTGCAATAAAATAGTGTGCCTAAGAAAAATTGAATGTTTTTGAAAAATTTTTTTTGACGAAAATCGCTTTAATGGTCATAAAAATGGTGTTCCTCTACTCGGATCCTTCTGTCAATTTTTTTCTACACTTTTAGGTGTATTTTGTGCAAGAAATTGCAATAAAATAGTGTGCCTAAGAAAAATTGAATGTTTTTGAAAAATTTTTTTTGACGAAAATCGCTTTAATGGTCATAAAAATGGTGTTCCTCTACTCGGATCCTTCTGTCAATTTTTTTCTACACTTTTAGGTGTATTTTGTGCAAGAAATTGCAATAAAATAGTGTGCCTAAGAAAAATTGAATGTTTTTGAAAATTTTTTTTTGACGAAAATCGCTTTAATGGTCATAAAAATGGTGTTCCTCTACTCGGATCCTTCTGTCAATTTTTTTCTACACTTTTAGGTGTATTTTGTGCAAGAAATTGCAATAAAATAGTGTGCCTAAGAAAAATTGAATGTTTTTGAAAATTTTTTTTTGACGAAAATCGCGTTTTTGGTCATAAAAAAGGTCTTCCTCTACTCGGATCGGGCTGTCAATTTTTTTCTACACTTTTAGGTGTATTTTGTGCAAGAAATTGCAATAAAATAGTGTGCCTAAGAAAAATTGAATGTTTTTGAAAATTTTTTTTTGACGAAAATCGCTTTAATGGTCATAAAAATGGTGTTCCTCTACTCGGATCCTTCTGTCAATTTTTTTCTACACTTTTAGGTGTATTTTGTGCAAGAAATTGCAATAAAATAGTGTGCCTAAGAAAAATTGAATTTTTTTGAAAATTTTTTTTTGACGAAAATCGCTTTAATGGTCATAAAAATGGTGTTCCTCTACTCGGATAGGGCTGTCAATTTTTTTCTACACTTTTAGGTGTATTTTGTGCAAGAAATTGCAATAAAATAGTGTGCCTAAGAAAAATTGAATGTTTTTGAAAAATTTTTTTTGACGAAAATCGCTTTAATGGTCATAAAAATGGTGTTCCTCTACTCGGATCCTTCTGTCAATTTTTTTCTACACTTTTAGGTGTATTTTGTGCAAGAAATTGCAATAAAATAGTGTGCCTAAGAAAAATTGAATGTTTTTGAAAATTTTTTTTTGACGAAAATCACTTCAATGGTCATAAAAATGGTGTTCCTCTACTCGGATCGGGCTGTCAATTTTTTTCTACACTTTTAGGTGTATTTTGTGCAAGAAATTGCAATAAAATAGTGTGCCTAAGAAAAATTGAATGTTTTTGAAAATTTTTTTTTGACGTAAATCGCTTTAATGGTCATAAAAATGGTGTTCCTCTACTCGGATCGGGCTGTCAATTTTTTTCTACACTTTTAGGTGTATTTTGTGCAAGAAATTGCAATAAAATAGTGTGCCTAAGAAAAATTGAATGTTTTTGAAAATTTTTTTTTGACGAAAATCGCGTTTTTGGTCATAAAATAGGTCTTCCTCTACTCGGATCGGGCTGTCAATTTTTTTCTACACTTTTAGGTGTATTTTGTGCAAGAAATTGCAATAAAATAGTGTGCCTAAGAAAAATTGAATTTTTTTGAAAATTTTTTTTTGGCGAAATACGCTTTAATGGTCATAAAAATGGTGTTCCTCTACTCGGATCGGGCTGTCAATTTTTTTCTACACTTTTACGTGTATTTTCTGCAAGAAATTGCAATAAAATAGTGTGCCTAAGAAAAATTGAATGTTTTTGAAAATTTTTTTTTGACGAAAATCGCGTTTTTGGTCATAAAAAAGGTCTTCCTCTACTCGGATCGGGCTGTCAATTTTTTTCTACACTTTTAGGTGTATTTTGTGCAAGAAATTGCAATAAAATAGTGTGCCTAAGAAAAATTGAATGTTTTTGAAAATTTTTTTTTGACGAAAATCGCTTTAATGGTCATAAAAATGGTGTTCCTCTACTCGGATCCTTCTGTCAATTTTTTTCTACACTTTTAGGTGTATTTTGTGCAAGAAATTGCAATAAAATAGTGTGCCTAAGAAAAATTGAATTTTTTTGAAAATTTTTTTTTGACGAAAATCGCTTTAATGGTCATAAAAATGGTGTTCCTCTACTCGGATCGGGCTGTCAATTTTTTTCTACACTTTTAGGTGTATTTTGTGCAAGAAATTGCAATAAAATAGTGTGCCTAAGAAAAATTGAATGTTTTTGAAAATTTTTTTTTGACGAAAATCGCTTTAATGGTCATAAAAATGGTGTTCCTCTACTCGGATCCTTCTGTCAATTTTTTTCTACACTTTTAGGTGTATTTTGTGCAAGAAATTGCAATAAAATAGTGTGCCTAAGAAAAATTGAATGTTTTTGAAAATTTTTTTTTGACGAAAATCGCTTTAATGGTCATAAAAATGGTGTTCCTCTACTCGGATCGGGCTGTCAATTTTTTTCTACACTTTTAGGTGTATTTTGTGCAAGAAATTGCAATAAAATAGTGTGCCTAAGAAAAATTGAATGTTTTTGAAAATTTTTTTTTGACGTAAATCGCTTTAATGGTCATAAAAATGGTGTTCCTCTACTCGGATCGGGCTGTCAATTTTTTTCTACACTTTTAGGTGTATTTTGTGCAAGAAATTGCAATAAAATAGTGTGCCTAAGAAAAATTGAATGTTTTTGAAAATTTTTTTTTGACGAAAATCGCGTTTTTGGTCATAAAAATGGTGTTCCTCTACTCGGATCGGGCTGTCAATTTTTTTCTACACTTTTAGGTGTATTTTGTGCAAGAAATTGCAATAAAATAGTGTGCCTAAGAAAAATTGAATGTTTTTGAAAATTTTTTTTTGACGAAAATCGCTTTAATGGTCATAAAAATGGTGTTCCTCTACTCGGATCCTTCTGTCAATTTTTTTCTACACTTTTAGGTGTATTTTGTGCAAGAAATTGCAATAAAATAGTGTGCCTAAGAAAAATTGAATGTTTTTGAAAATTTTTTTTTGACGAAAATCGCTTTAATGGTCATAAAAATGGTGTTCCTCTACTCGGATCCTTCTGTCAATTTTTTTCTACACTTTTAGGTGTATTTTGTGCAAGAAATTGCAATAAAATAGTGTGCCTAAGAAAAATTGAATGTTTTTGAAAATTTTTTTTTGACGAAAATCGCTTCAATGGTCATAAAAATGGTGTTCCTCTACTCGGATCGGGCTGTCAATTTTTTTCTACACTTTTAGGTGTATTTTGTGCAAGAAATTGCAATAAAATAGTGTGCCTAAGAAAAATTGAATGTTTTTGAAAATTTTTTTTTGACGTAAATCGCTTTAATGGTCATAAAAATGGTGTTCCTCTACTCGGATCGGGCTGTCAATTTTTTTCTACACTTTTAGGTGTATTTTGTGCAAGAAATTGCAATAAAATAGTGTGCCTAAGAAAAATTGAATGTTTTTGAAAATTTTTTTTTGACGAAAATCGCTTTAATGGTCATAAAAATGGTGTTCCTCTACTCGGATCGGGCTGTCAATTTTTTTCTACACTTTTAGGTGTATTTTGTGCAAGAAATTGCAATAAAATAGTGTGCCTAAGAAAAATTGAATGTTTTTGAAAAATTTTTTTTGACGAAAATCGCTTTAATGGTCATAAAAATGGTGTTCCTCTACTCGGATCCTTCTGTCAATTTTTTTCTACACTTTTAGGTGTATTTTGTGCAAGAAATTGCAATAAAATAGTGTGCCTAAGAAAAATTGAATGTTTTTGAAAAATTTTTTTTGACGAAAATCGCTTTAATGGTCATAAAAATGGTGTTCCTCTACTCGGATCCTTCTGTCAATTTTTTTCTACACTTTTAGGTGTATTTTGTGCAAGAAATTGCAATAAAATAGTGTGCCTAAGAAAAATTGAATGTTTTTGAAAATTTTTTTTTGACGAAAATCGCTTTAATGGTCATAAAAATGGTGTTCCTCTACTCGGATCCTTCTGTCAATTTTTTTCTACACTTTTAGGTGTATTTTGTGCAAGAAATTGCAATAAAATAGTGTGCCTAAGAAAAATTGAATGTTTTTGAAAATTTTTTTTTGACGAAAATCGCGTTTTTGGTCATAAAAAAGGTCTTCCTCTACTCGGATCGGGCTGTCAATTTTTTTCTACACTTTTAGGTGTATTTTGTGCAAGAAATTGCAATAAAATAGTGTGCCTAAGAAAAATTGAATGTTTTTGAAAATTTTTTTTTGACGAAAATCGCTTTAATGGTCATAAAAATGGTGTTCCTCTACTCGGATCCTTCTGTCAATTTTTTTCTACACTTTTAGGTGTATTTTGTGCAAGAAATTGCAATAAAATAGTGTGCCTAAGAAAAATTGAATTTTTTTGAAAATTTTTTTTTGACGAAAATCGCTTTAATGGTCATAAAAATGGTGTTCCTCTACTCGGATAGGGCTGTCAATTTTTTTCTACACTTTTAGGTGTATTTTGTGCAAGAAATTGCAATAAAATAGTGTGCCTAAGAAAAATTGAATGTTTTTGAAAAATTTTTTTTGACGAAAATCGCTTTAATGGTCATAAAAATGGTGTTCCTCTACTCGGATCCTTCTGTCAATTTTTTTCTACACTTTTAGGTGTATTTTGTGCAAGAAATTGCAATAAAATAGTGTGCCTAAGAAAAATTGAATGTTTTTGAAAATTTTTTTTTGACGAAAATCACTTCAATGGTCATAAAAATGGTGTTCCTCTACTCGGATCGGGCTGTCAATTTTTTTCTACACTTTTAGGTGTATTTTGTGCAAGAAATTGCAATAAAATAGTGTGCCTAAGAAAAATTGAATGTTTTTGAAAATTTTTTTTTGACGTAAATCGCTTTAATGGTCATAAAAATGGTGTTCCTCTACTCGGATCGGGCTGTCAATTTTTTTCTACACTTTTAGGTGTATTTTGTGCAAGAAATTGCAATAAAATAGTGTGCCTAAGAAAAATTGAATGTTTTTGAAAATTTTTTTTTGACGAAAATCGCGTTTTTGGTCATAAAATAGGTCTTCCTCTACTCGGATCGGGCTGTCAATTTTTTTCTACACTTTTAGGTGTATTTTGTGCAAGAAATTGCAATAAAATAGTGTGCCTAAGAAAAATTGAATTTTTTTGAAAATTTTTTTTTGGCGAAATACGCTTTAATGGTCATAAAAATGGTGTTCCTCTACTCGGATCGGGCTGTCAATTTTTTTCTACACTTTTACGTGTATTTTCTGCAAGAAATTGCAATAAAATAGTGTGCCTAAGAAAAATTGAATGTTTTTGAAAATTTTTTTTTGACGAAAATCGCGTTTTTGGTCATAAAAAAGGTCTTCCTCTACTCGGATCGGGCTGTCAATTTTTTTCTACACTTTTAGGTGTATTTTGTGCAAGAAATTGCAATAAAATAGTGTGCCTAAGAAAAATTGAATGTTTTTGAAAATTTTTTTTTGACGAAAATCGCTTTAATGGTCATAAAAATGGTGTTCCTCTACTCGGATCCTTCTGTCAATTTTTTTCTACACTTTTAGGTGTATTTTGTGCAAGAAATTGCAATAAAATAGTGTGCCTAAGAAAAATTGAATGTTTTTGAAAATTTTTTTTTGACGAAAATCGCTTTAATGGTCATAAAAATGGTGTTCCTCTACTCGGATCCTTCTGTCAATTTTTTTCTACACTTTTAGGTGTATTTTGTGCAAGAAATTGCAATAAAATAGTGTGCCTAAGAAAAATTGAATTTTTTTGAAAATTTTTTTTTGACGAAAATCGCTTTAATGGTCATAAAAATGGTGTTCCTCTACTCGGATAGGGCTGTCAATTTTTTTCTACACTTTTAGGTGTATTTTGTGCAAGAAATTGCAATAAAATAGTGTGCCTAAGAAAAATTGAATGTTTTTGAAAATTTTTTTTTGACGAAAATCGCGTTAATGGTCATAAAAATGGTGTTCCACTACTCGGATCGGGCTGTCAATTTTTTTCTACACTTTTAGGTGTATTTTGTGCAAGAAATTGCAATAAAATAGTGTGCCTAAGAAAAATTGAATGTTTTTGAAAATTTTTTTTTGACGAAAATCGCTTTAATGGTCATAAAAATGGTGTTCCTCTACTCGGATCCTTCTGTCAATTTTTTTCTACACTTTTAGGTGTATTTTGTGCAAGAAATTGCAATAAAATAGTGTGCCTAAGAAAAATTGAATGTTTTTGAAAATTTTTTTTTGACGAAAATCGCTTTAATGGTCATAAAAATGGTGTTCCTCTACTCGGATCGGGCTGTCAATTTTTTTCTACACTTTTAGGTGTATTTTGTGCAAGAAATTGCAATAAAATAGTGTGCCTAAGAAAAATTGAATGTTTTTGAAAAATTTTTTTTGACGAAAATCGCTTTAATGGTCATAAAAATGGTGTTCCTCTACTCGGATCCTTCTGTCAATTTTTTTCTACACTTTTAGGTGTATTTTGTGCAAGAAATTGCAATAAAATAGTGTGCCTAAGAAAAATTGAATGTTTTTGAAAATTTTTTTTTGACGAAAATCGCTTTAATGGTCATAAAAATGGTGTTCCTCTACTCGGATCCTTCTGTCAATTTTTTTCTACACTTTTAGGTGTATTTTGTGCAAGAAATTGCAATAAAATAGTGTGCCTAAGAAAAATTGAATGTTTTTGAAAATTTTTTTTTGACGAAAATCGCTTTAATGGTCATAAAAATGGTGTTCCTCTACTCGGATCCTTCTGTCAATTTTTTTCTACACTTTTAGGTGTATTTTGTGCAAGAAATTGCAATAAAATAGTGTGCCTAAGAAAAATTGAATGTTTTTGAAAATTTTTTTTTGACGAAAATCGCTTTAATGGTCATAAAAATGGTGTTCCTCTACTCGGATCCTTCTGTCAATTTTTTTCTACACTTTTAGGTGTATTTTGTGCAAGAAATTGCAATAAAATAGTGTGCCTAAGAAAAATTGAATGTTTTTGAAAATTTTTTTTTGACGAAAATCGCTTTAATGGTCATAAAAATGGTGTTCCTCTACTCGGATCGGGCTGTCAATTTTTTTCTACACTTTTAGGTGTATTTTGTGCAAGAAATTGCAATAAAATAGTGTGCCTAAGAAAAATTGAATGTTTTTGAAAATTTTTTTTGACGAAAATCGCTTTAATGGTCATAAAAATGGTGTTCCTCTACTCGGATCCTTCTGTCAATTTTTTTCTACACTTTTAGGTGTATTTTGTGCAAGAAATTGCAATAAAATAGTGTGCCTAAGAAAAATTGAATGTTTTTGAAAATTTTTTTTTGACGAAAATCGCTTCAATGGTCATAAAAATGGTGTTCCTCTACTCGGATCGGGCTGTCAATTTTTTTCTACACTTTTAGGTGTATTTTGTGCAAGAAATTGCAATAAAATAGTGTGCCTAAGAAAAATTGAATGTTTTTGAAAATTTTTTTTTGACGAAAATCGCTTTAATGGTCATAAAAATGGTGTTCCTCTACTCGGATCGGGCTGTCAATTTTTTTCTACACTTTTAGGTGTATTTTGTGCAAGAAATTGCAATAAAATAGTGTGCCTAAGAAAAATTGAATGTTTTTGAAAATTTTTTTTTGACGAAAATCGCTTTAATGGTCATAAAAATGGTGTTCCTCTACTCGGATCGGGCTGTCAATTTTTTTCTACACTTTTAGGTGTATTTTGTGCAAGAAATTGCAATAAAATAGTGTGCCTAAGAAAAATTGAATGTTTTTGAAAATTTTTTTTTGACGAAAATCGCTTTAATGGTCATAAAAATGGTGTTCCTCTACTCGGATCCTTCTGTCAATTTTTTTCTACACTTTTAGGTGTATTTTGTGCAAGAAATTGCAATAAAATAGTGTGCCTAAGAAAAATTGAATGTTTTTGAAAATTTTTTTTGACGAAAATCGCTTTAATGGTCATAAAAATGGTGTTCCTCTACTCGGATCCTTCTGTCAATTTTTTTCTACACTTTTAGGTGTATTTTGTGCAAGAAATTGCAATAAAATAGTGTGCCTAAGAAAAATTGAATGTTTTTGAAAATTTTTTTTTGACGAAAATCGCTTTAATGGTCATAAAAATGGTGTTCCTCTACTCGGATCCTTCTGTCAATTTTTTTCTACACTTTTAGGTGTATTTTGTGCAAGAAATTGCAATAAAATAGTGTGCCTAAGAAAAATTGAATGTTTTTGAAAATTTTTTTTTGACGAAAATCGCTTTTTGGTCATAAAAATGGTGTTCCTCTACTCGGATCGGGCTGTCAATTTTTTTCTACACTTTTAGGTGTATTTTGTGCAAGAAATTGCAATAAAATAGTGTGCCTAAGAAAAATTGAATTTTTTTGAAAATTTTTTTTTGACGAAAATCGCTTTAATGGTCATAAAAATGGTGTTCCTCTACTCGGATCGGGCTGTCAATTTTTTTCTACACTTTTAGGTGTATTTTGTGCAAGAAATTGCAATAAAATAGTGTGCCTAAGAAAAATTGAATGTTTTTGAAAAATTTTTTTTGACGAAAATCGCTTTAATGGTCATAAAAATGGTGTTCCTCTACTCGGATCCTTCTGTCAATTTTTTTCTACACTTTTAGGTGTATTTTGTGCAAGAAATTGCAATAAAATAGTGTGCCTAAGAAAAATTGAATGTTTTTGAAAATTTTTTTTTGACGAAAATCGCTTCAATGGTCATAAAAATGGTGTTCCTCTACTCGGATCGGGCTGTCAATTTTTTTCTACACTTTTAGGTGTATTTTGTGCAAGAAATTGCAATAAAATAGTGTGCCTAAGAAAAATTGAATGTTTTTGAAAATTTTTTTTTGACGAAAATCGCTTTAATGGTCATAAAAATGGTGTTCCTCTACTCGGATCGGGCTGTCAATTTTTTTCTACACTTTTAGGTGTATTTTGTGCAAGAAATTGCAATAAAATAGTGTGCCTAAGAAAAATTGAATGTTTTTGAAAATTTTTTTTTGACGAAAATCGCTTTTTGGTCATAAAAATGGTGTTCCTCTACTCGGATCGGGCTGTCAATTTTTTTCTACACTTTTAGGTGTATTTTGTGCAAGAAATTGCAATAAAATAGTGTGCCTAAGAAAAATTGAATTTTTTTGAAAATTTTTTTTTGACGAAATCGCTTTAATGGTCATAAAAATGGTGTTCCTCTACTCGGATCGGGCTGTCAATTTTTTTCTACACTTTTAGGTGTATTTTGTGCAAGAAATTGCAATAAAATAGTGTGCCTAAGAAAAATTGAATGTTTTTGAAAATTTTTTTTTGACGAAAATCGCTTTTTGGTCATAAAAATGGTGTTCCTCTACTCGGATCGGGCTGTCAATTTTTTTCTACACTTTTAGGTGTATTTTGTGCAAGAAATTGCAATAAAATAGTGTGCCTAAGAAAAATTGAATGTTTTTGAAAATTTTTTTTTGACGAAAATCGCTTTAATGGTCATAAAAATGGTGTTCCTCTACTCGGATCCTTCTGTCAATTTTTTTCTACACTTTTAGGTGTATTTTGTGCAAGAAATTGCAATAAAATAGTGTGCCTAAGAAAAATTGAATTTTTTTGAAAATTTTTTTTTGACGAAAATCGCTTTAATGGTCATAAAAATGGTGTTCCTCTACTCGGATCGGGCTGTCAATTTTTTTCTACACTTTTAGGTGTATTTTGTGCAAGAAATTGCAATAAAATAGTGTGCCTAAGAAAAATTGAATGTTTTTGAAAATTTTTTTTGACGAAAATCGCTTTAATGGTCATAAAAATGGTGTTCCTCTACTCGGATCCTTCTGTCAATTTTTTTCTACACTTTTAGGTGTATTTTGTGCAAGAAATTGCAATAAAATAGTGTGCCTAAGAAAAATTGAATGTTTTTGAAAATTTTTTTTTGACGAAAATCGCTTCAATGGTCATAAAAATGGTGTTCCTCTACTCGGATCGGGCTGTCAATTTTTTTCTACACTTTTAGGTGTATTTTGTGCAAGAAATTGCAATAAAATAGTGTGCCTAAGAAAAATTGAATGTTTTTGAAAATTTTTTTTTGACGAAAATCGCTTTAATGGTCATAAAAATGGTGTTCCTCTACTCGGATCGGGCTGTCAATTTTTTTCTACACTTTTAGGTGTATTTTGTGCAAGAAATTGCAATAAAATAGTGTGCCTAAGAAAAATTGAATGTTTTTGAAAATTTTTTTTTGACGAAAATCGCTTTTTGGTCATAAAAATGGTGTTCCTCTACTCGGATCGGGCTGTCAATTTTTTTCTACACTTTTAGGTGTATTTTGTGCAAGAAATTGCAATAAAATAGTGTGCCTAAGAAAAATTGAATTTTTTTGAAAATTTTTTTTTGACGAAAATCGCTTTAATGGTCATAAAAATGGTGTTCCTCTACTCGGATCGGGCTGTCAATTTTTTTCTACACTTTTAGGTGTATTTTGTGCAAGAAATTGCAATAAAATAGTGTGCCTAAGAAAAATTGAATGTTTTTGAAAATTTTTTTTTGACGAAAATCGCTTTTTGGTCATAAAAATGGTGTTCCTCTACTCGGATCGGGCTGTCAATTTTTTTCTACACTTTTAGGTGTATTTTGTGCAAGAAATTGCAATAAAATAGTGTGCCTAAGAAAAATTGAATGTTTTTGAAAATTTTTTTTTGACGAAAATCGCTTTAATGGTCATAAAAATGGTGTTCCTCTACTCGGATCCTTCTGTCAATTTTTTTCTACACTTTTAGGTGTATTTTGTGCAAGAAATTGCAATAAAATAGTGTGCCTAAGAAAAATTGAATGTTTTTGAAAATTTTTTTTTGACGAAAATCGCTTTAATGGTCATAAAAATGGTGTTCCTCTACTCGGATCCTTCTGTCAATTTTTTTCTACACTTTTAGGTGTATTTTGTGCAAGAAATTGCAATAAAATAGTGTGCCTAAGAAAAATTGAATTTTTTTGAAAATTTTTTTTTGACGAAAATCGCTTTAATGGTCATAAAAATGGTGTTCCTCTACTCGGATCGGGCTGTCAATTTTTTTCTACACTTTTAGGTGTATTTTGTGCAAGAAATTGCAATAAAATAGTGTGCCTAAGAAAAATTGAATGTTTTTGAAAAATTTTTTTTGACGAAAATCGCTTTAATGGTCATAAAAATGGTGTTCCTCTACTCGGATCCTTCTGTCAATTTTTTTCTACACTTTTAGGTGTATTTTGTGCAAGAAATTGCAATAAAATAGTGTGCCTAAGAAAAATTGAATGTTTTTGAAAATTTTTTTTTGACGAAAATCACTTCAATGGTCATAAAAATGGTGTTCCTCTACTCGGATCGGGCTGTCAATTTTTTTCTACACTTTTAGGTGTATTTTGTGCAAGAAATTGCAATAAAATAGTGTGCCTAAGAAAAATTGAATGTTTTTGAAAATTTTTTTTTGACGTAAATCGCTTTAATGGTCATAAAAATGGTGTTCCTCTACTCGGATCGGGCTGTCAATTTTTTTCTACACTTTTAGGTGTATTTTGTGCAAGAAATTGCAATAAAATAGTGTGCCTAAGAAAAATTGAATGTTTTTGAAAATTTTTTTTTGACGAAAATCGCGTTTTTGGTCATAAAATAGGTCTTCCTCTACTCGGATCGGGCTGTCAATTTTTTTCTACACTTTTAGGTGTATTTTGTGCAAGAAATTGCAATAAAATAGTGTGCCTAAGAAAAATTGAATTTTTTTGAAAATTTTTTTTTGGCGAAATACGCTTTAATGGTCATAAAAATGGTGTTCCTCTACTCGGATCGGGCTATCAATTTTTTTCTACACTTTTACGTGTATTTTCTGCAAGAAATTGCAATAAAATAGTGTGCCTAAGAAAAATTGAATGTTTTTGAAAATTTTTTTTTGACGAAAATCGCGTTTTTGGTCATAAAAAAGGTCTTCCTCTACTCGGATCGGGCTGTCAATTTTTTTCTACACTTTTAGGTGTATTTTGTGCAAGAAATTGCAATAAAATAGTGTGCCTAAGAAAAATTGAATGTTTTTGAAAATTTTTTTTTGACGAAAATCGCTTTAATGGTCATAAAAATGGTGTTCCTCTACTCGGATCCTTCTGTCAATTTTTTTCTACACTTTTAGGTGTATTTTGTGCAAGAAATTGCAATAAAATAGTGTGCCTAAGAAAAATTGAATGTTTTTGAAAAATTTTTTTTGACGAAAATCGCTTTAATGGTCATAAAAATGGTGTTCCTCTACTCGGATCCTTCTGTCAATTTTTTTCTACACTTTTAGGTGTATTTTGTGCAAGAAATTGCAATAAAATAGTGTGCCTAAGAAAAATTGAATGTTTTTGAAAATTTTTTTTTGACGAAAATCGCTTCAATGGTCATAAAAATGGTGTTCCTCTACTCGGATCGGGCTGTCAATTTTTTTCTACACTTTTAGGTGTATTTTGTGCAAGAAATTGCAATAAAATAGTGTGCCTAAGAAAAATTGAATGTTTTTGAAAATTTTTTTTTGACGAAAATCGCTTTAATGGTCATAAAAATGGTGTTCCTCTACTCGGATCGGGCTGTCAATTTTTTTCTACACTTTTAGGTGTATTTTGTGCAAGAAATTGCAATAAAATAGTGTGCCTAAGAAAAATTGAATGTTTTTGAAAATTTTTTTTTGACGAAAATCGCTTTAATGGTCATAAAAATGGTGTTCCTCTACTCGGATCGGGCTGTCAATTTTTTTCTACACTTTTAGGTGTATTTTGTGCAAGAAATTGCAATAAAATAGTGTGCCTAAGAAAAATTGAATGTTTTTGAAAAATTTTTTTTGACGAAAATCGCTTTAATGGTCATAAAAATGGTGTTCCTCTACTCGGATCCTTCTGTCAATTTTTTTCTACACTTTTAGGTGTATTTTGTGCAAGAAATTGCAATAAAATAGTGTGCCTAAGAAAAATTGAATTTTTTTGAAAATTTTTTTTTGACGAAAATCGCTTTAATGGTCATAAAAATGGTGTTCCTCTACTCGGATCGGGCTGTCAATTTTTTTCTACACTTTTAGGTGTATTTTGTGCAAGAAATTGCAATAAAATAGTGTGCCTAAGAAAAATTGAATGTTTTTGAAAATTTTTTTTTGACGAAAATCGCTTTAATGGTCATAAAAATGGTGTTCCTCTACTCGGATCCTTCTGTCAATTTTTTTCTACACTTTTAGGTGTATTTTGTGCAAGAAATTGCAATAAAATAGTGTGCCTAAGAAAAATTGAATGTTTTTGAAAATTTTTTTTTGACGAAAATCGCTTTAATGGTCATAAAAATGGTGTTCCTCTACTCGGATCGGGCTGTCAATTTTTTTCTACACTTTTAGGTGTATTTTGTGCAAGAAATTGCAATAAAATAGTGTGCCTAAGAAAAATTGAATTTTTTTGAAAATTTTTTTTTGACGAAAATCGCTTTAATGGTCATAAAAATGGTGTTCCTCTACTCGGATAGGGCTGTCAATTTTTTTCTACACTTTTAGGTGTATTTTGTGCAAGAAATTGCAATAAAATAGTGTGCCTAAGAAAAATTGAATGTTTTTGAAAAATTTTTTTTGACGAAAATCGCTTTAATGGTCATAAAAATGGTGTTCCTCTACTCGGATCCTTCTGTCAATTTTTTTCTACACTTTTAGGTGTATTTTGTGCAAGAAATTGCAATAAAATAGTGTGCCTAAGAAAAATTGAATGTTTTTGAAAATTTTTTTTTGACGAAAATCACTTCAATGGTCATAAAAATGGTGTTCCTCTACTCGGATCGGGCTGTCAATTTTTTTCTACACTTTTAGGTGTATTTTGTGCAAGAAATTGCAATAAAATAGTGTGCCTAAGAAAAATTGAATGTTTTTGAAA